CTATTAAACTTGGTGGTGAGTTCAGTTTCCTTGTGTTTGTGATCCCTTCAAAATGTTCCTCTGATGTGGTCTGAGCCCTTTCTTATGCTTTAGGGTACTTATGGAAACCATCCACAAGCCCGCCATCATTCCCTCTGCGCCAGTTTCTGTACCCTTCTTGCTTAGGGGTACGTGAAAACTTTAGGATGTATTCACAAAACTCTAGGAGTTGGAAACTGAAGAGCAGGAAGTTTCCAAGCTTTTCATACTTAGACACAACCTGTTGCTATTCTCTATCCTTATTCCTATAGCCTTTTGCAAATCTGTGAAGATGCACCCTCCTAAAATCATAATGAGCTTATGAATTTTCCTGTTCCCAATAACGGTGACTTGTTATTTGTCATCAATTTTATAATCTGGATATTTGTGTCTCCTCCTAAATTCACATGTTAATATTCTGTCCCTTATGGCTATGGTATTAGACCTTTGGGAGGTGAGTGGGCTTCTGGGAAACAGCCCTCAGAAATGGGATCAGTGTCCTTATAGAGAGGCCTCTGAGAAACTCCAAACCCTTTCTACATTGTTGAGGACACACTGAGAAAATGCCTTCTTTGAAGAGTCCAGAGAGTCCTCTACCAGATATTGTGTCTCTAGGTGCCTCAGATCTTAGATTTCCTAGACTCCAGAGTTATGATGAATAAATTTCTGTTGTTTATAAGCTACACAGTTTATGTATAGTGATTTGTTTTAGCAGCATGAACAGACTGACTCAGATTTTCTAAATTTTGAAAGGAAATAAAATTTTGAACCTCTTCTTTGACCAAGATTTCTCTCTTGTCCCTAATTTTCCCAAGTATCTTTTCTTGTGTCTACTTTTTTCTTCCTTTCCTTCTCTGTTGGTCAGGTGGTAGTGCTGGTGGTATTAGAGTTGAAGTGAGGACATGCATCTATGAGCTTTCATTTTCTCTCAGGCTTTTCTGTAAACTGAACTTCAGATTCAGGCTCTGAAGCCAACAATTTGATGTCTTTGTTCCCTAGTTTATTTCTGACAAATACCTCAGGAGTCAAATAAATGACCACTCTATGTTTTAAAAATTCACAATGGTGAAGTCTGATGGTGGTAGTGGGAAGAGTGGTCACATTAAAGAAAAACACATAGAAAAACACATCCGTTGATATGGCATATTCCATTATATCACTGAAGAGACCTTTATCTGAAGCATAATGCATTACTGTGTATCGTTTATTGCATCTTGGGAAAAAAAGTCACATGTTTAGCTGTTGCAAAATCACTGAGACCTATTTTGTTAATTCCTATATCAATTCTATTAAATGAGGGTGTTTCTAAACAGTGCAAAAGAAATAGTAAAAAAAAAAAAAACAGCAACAACAAAAAAACAGACTGACTTTTCCTTGAATTGATTCTGGAGAAGTTTCTTATTTGGAGAGTGGAGAGGATTAGGACAATGCCACAGCCCACAGCCAACATATACATATAGGTGAGCATATATGTTGTGATTAGGGCTGCTGACACTGACATCAAACACCTCTTTTAAAATTCTCCCTTCCCACCTAATAGTTGCATAACTTCTCTTAGTTTCAAAATTCTCATAGATAAAGTGAATATTATCCCAGCATTGTTGGGAACATTGAAAGAGTCATTTCATGTAAAGCAATTAGTTCAGCACCAGGCATATTCAGGCCCTAAGAAAGTGTCCGTTAACATCATTTTTATGTTGTTTATTTTCTCTTCTAGATATCTCACAGGCTAAAACAATAAAATTAAAACTGAATTACCATAAAAGAAAGTAAGCATAGTTGATTTCAAGTAGCTAGTAGTCTCAGGAAGTGGTGTGAACTCCTTCCATGGAGGCTTGAGTTAAGAAGTAAAAAGGCAGCAAAATCCTAAATAGGAGCAAAACTGGTGAAAGAGTGGCTGCTGTTGTGGCAAGAACATTTTGGGAAATCCCAAATATATATGGACCACACAAAGATCATGGTTTAACAGTTTTGTCCCCTCCTTTCTCGGGAACGCTAAATGTACTGGCTAACCATTAAATATCTTGATCTACCCTTTGTGATTGTCTTTTAACTAGAAAAATTATAAACCCTGCTTATCTATTGCAACTTAGAAGGGTCTTTTGTTGGAGATTGCTCATTTTCTTGTGCATTACTTGTGCCTGTTTTGAAATTAAGATATGAATTCCTGGTAATTAAAGCAAAGTTTTTATTTATATCTCACCACAAAAGAAACAGAACTCCAAGTATCTATTAGATATGTAGTAGCTTTGGGGCCACAGATGAATTGATTATTAAATGTTTACAGTGCAGTATTGCAGAGATGTGGAAACAAAAACCAAAGAGATGAATTTATAATGAGAGGATGCCTTCTGTTATTCTGGTTGGAATATTCGGGGCTATCTTAAGTAATCCAATACTTGTGTATGGCAAAAAAACTAATGCAATTTTGAAGGAGTCATATGTCTTTGCAAAGCAAACCAGGGATAGCCTTTATTTAAAAAGAAAAAAGATAGTCAAACCACTTGATGATTACAATAATATTCATGACTTGCAGTGCTGACATCCTATAGATTGATGCAGTCTTCAAGTGTGGAAACACTGAGTCATACAGAAGATGAGACGTTTTAATAATGAAAAAAATATTTATGTAGTCAGCAGATTGTCAGTAAAGGTGGTTTAGATTATAAGAGTCACCCAACAGAGACTATGTCAGGTTGCAAATTATTCTAACCACAGAATCATTTGAAAATGAGTAAAGCAAACTTCGAGTGACTTGATACAACCCAGATCCTTTTATTTCTTCTTCTCCCTTCTTCTTTCATCCCCCTCTCTCTACTTTTGAAATTGGAAAAGTATTGATTATGCTTCTAAACATAATGCCAGTATGCCTAAGGGAAAAAAATAAGGACGGTATCTTTTTTCTTTTTCTTTTTTGCATTTGGGATGTGTTGCCTTTTCTTTTCCCAGTGCACTAATTCGAAATAGAATGTAGACAGATTTGAAATTCTCTGTGTTGTCTCTTGATCTCATCTTTGCTGTTCCATTTTGTCTGACATCTGAAGGCTTGCATTCAAGGACTAATTGTGTCTGGTTTTGACTTATTTGATAAAATTCTTCTATAAATTGAGATACAAGGAATATTTTAGTAAAAGGTGAAAGATTTATATGATCTGAAGAGAAACCAGAGTAAGTTGGAGAATATCATACTAAGCAAAATACGCCAATCCCACAAAACTAAAGGCCGGATGTTTTCTCTAATATGCGGATGCTAATTCACAATAAGGTGGAGGCACTAGGGGAGAATAGCGTTACCTTAGATTAGATAGAGGGAAGTGATGAGAGGGAAGGGGAGAAGATGTAGGGCTAGGAAAAGATAGTAAAATGAAACAGACATTATTACTGTGTGTATATATGTGACTATATGACCAATATGATTCTGCAACATGTACACTCAGAAAAATGAGAAATTATATCCCATCTATGTATGATATATCAAAGTTCATACTGTCATGTATAACTAATTAAAACAAATATAAAAAATTAAAGAAGAAATATTTTAGTAACAATAAACCCCTAAAACCATACTGGGTCATTTAACTCTTTAATTTTTGATGTCCACCCAGATTTATAACAGTTTTGTGTTAAGAGTCAGGAGAATATCCTGAGACCCTCACACCCACATATCTGCAGTCAAATCCCATTCCTCCCCACTTGTTTCTAAGGCTTCCATTTAGATTTTGATATTTGATTCTAAAGGATTTAAGAGTATTTGGGGGGGTCTTCACTCTTCCAAACAACATGCTTTAGATACAAAAATAAGGGGAATTGAAAAGGTGATAGATATGTTAACCAATTTGACTGTGGTAGGTATTTCACAGTATATATGTACATCAAAGCCTTGTGCTACATGCATGCCTTAAATATATACATCTGTACTTGTCAATTATAGTTCAATAAAGCTGGAAAGAAAAATGCAAAACAAAATCTAAATGACTTCAAGTGGATATAAGCTAGGGATGCTATGCTAATTGCTCCTATCAGATATCAGTCAGCTGCATTAAACTTACATCAGAGTCATATTTTCTGGTTTTATTCTTTGATAAACTTTCCAATTTGAGCTATAAGTTGAAATGAATCTATGTTCTCATATCTTCCTTTGGATACTGTTGTTTTTTTTTGTTTTGTTTTGTTTTTCACTGACAATTCTAAACTCCATTTTAGCCATAATTTATTTATTTTGAGACTAGGAATTGAATCGAGGGTACTTAAACACAGAGCTACATCCCCAGTCTTTTTTTTGGGTAATTTTTATTTAGAGAGAGGATCTGGCTGAGTTGCTAAGAGCCTTATTAAGTTGCTGAGGCTGACTTTGAACTTGAGATCCTCCTACCTCAGCTCCCAAGTTGCTAGGATTACAAAATCTGTGCCATTGCTTTTAGTATAAATTCATATAAATCTGGCTTTTAGCTATAATTTATACTAAATTCATTGTGGAATATATTTCAAAACAATATAATTTGTTTTTCATTTTATTACTGAAGTATCATTTTTTGATAGTGACTAAACTATTAAAATATTGCTAAATATACCCCAAAGTTTGGCTATCATTTTTTTCTTCAAAATATCAGTTCCTTTTGAAATTACAAATAAAATTATTGTTTATGTTTTTGGATATATTATTTACTCAACACCAGGAGAATTAAAAAACCATAGCTAATGTATCTGTCTATATATTTTATAATATATAATATATATTACTATACAATAATATGACACTTATATGACAAAATGACACTTATATAGAATTTTTGTCACATATTGTGTTGGTATGCCTTTTGAAAATTGTGAATAGAAGCCCAGGATTTTCTTAGAGACTAGGTTGTCCTGAGGTCATTTCTCACAGCTGCCTGTATTCTTTTTGGCTTTTATATCCAGTGCATTGCAGGTTGTGCACATTTTTGAGTACAGTGAGTATTCATATCCACATTCTTCTTTTCTAGGTCTGCAGCATCAAGATAAAAGCAAGGAATCACCCTGGTACTGAAGCATCCAGTGTTAGCAAGTCAGGCTGCAGCCTGAATCCAAAGGCCCATTGGAAAAAGAAGCTATTGGGAATTCCATTCCGCAATGGGACACAAGAAACGTGGAAGGAGAAGCGGAAGTGGCAGGCAGTTTACTTTGGTTTTGAACCTTTTCTGGAGAAAGCAGAGTGGGTCCTAGTCATTGAAGAAAAGCAGTTTTAATTTTTCCCTCATCTGAGCCTTTGTCAACTGTGCAACTCTTCCTTACTTTCTTGCTTTTACCAGTACTTGGGATAGTTTTTGTGTCATTTTTTTTTTTCCAACTGGCCACCTTGTCAGGAAAAGATGAACCACAAATGAAAATGTTCATTCTTTCAGGAATACAATTTTGTAGTTCTGTGTGCATCTATTTTTGTAGAAATACAGAAAGTTTGGTTTAGCATTGATGGGCTATTTTGGGGGGATGTATGTTTTTTTAATATTGTAACAATTGTTGAGTTCTGTTTAAAGAACTTGATCTCAGAGAAGCACTGGCAAAAATGTTTAAATGCTTATCTTTCAAATGTGTGTGATATGTTCCTGTCTGTGCTTTCTAGGTTACCTCAAGTGTTCAGTATTTTCTCCTTTCAACAAAAGTAGCTATACCACAGCCAAACCAATGCAGTATTGTTTTTACATTAAACCTCAGTGAAGATTTAATTCCATGCTAGCTCACTTAGTTTTGAGTGATATATATAACTTGGAAAGGGAGATTTTTTTTTTTTTTTTTTGGTCAGGGGGTGGAGCACACTAAAGAAAGAGTATTTCATTACTTTGATTTCTCCCAAAGAGTCCTTAGAAGTTGACTAAGAAGAAAGTTTGCACAAACTTTCAGTTAGATGGAAAGTTTACCTATAGTACACTCCTCTTTTTAGTCCATCCAACTTTGATAAATCAAACCAGAGTTTTAATACAACTACTTATACTGGGATAAAATACATTTAACCATGAGATCTGTATGTGCCAGTGACTTATTTTCTGTGTTTCTTATTACTCATTAGTTGCAATTTCAAAAGTTATTTTTAAGTGATTTTTTTTCCCTGGAGTTTGAAGGAATAATATCTAGAAAGATACTAGATATATCACAAAGCCCTGTCTATTTCTGATCATGCCACTCATCATTGCAAATTGGAAAAAAATCTATATGCAATATTTTCAATAGCATTGTGCAAGCCATTTTTTATTATTGTTCAAATTTAGTTTTGTTTCAATCCTTTTAAAAATTTAGGACAAAATAAAATTTATATTGGTATTATTATGTTGATACCACAGTTACTGAAATTAGGCTAAAATTTTTAAATTTGAGGATTCAATTTGATGTGGCCCTCAGGATCTAACTAAAATTTTAAAGTAAAGATTATCATTATGACACTATTAGGGAAAGATTAGGATTAAGAAGTTGGAAGTTATTGATAATGTAAGGAATTTAAAGACAAAATTCTCTCCTCTTTTCAACTGCTTTCAGGGCTTCATATAAAAAGTCAATGTAATATAGGTGTTTTCATTTGATAAAAAGTTTCTCAAGTTTCTCCTATCTCTCTCTACCAACAAGAAATCACATTTTCAGTGAAGTGATACTAGCATCTTTAGTTGCATTTATAATATGTGTGAATAAACATTGACAACATGCTTAGGTAGACAGAGTTCTCATATGTAATTTTCAAATATTATCTTGGCTATGTTTTGTGCATTAGTCTTCTTTCCTGATGCATTCTTTGACTTGTAAACCTGTACACTCTTTTGTATTTTCATCACTCCGTATTTTGCTTCTTCTCAACAATATACACAGTTTTACCAATGTGAAGTCCAAACTTGAAGAAACTTCCACTCACTTATAATATAAACTTCACTTTCCAGGGAAGTGGCTTGATTAAACTATGTACATTTTGACCTATAATTTGATTTGATGCATTTTTTTTTTTGTAATCTGCCAAATATGTGGAGCACACAGTTTGACGAATCTATACAATTTATTTTGTCTTGAGTTCTCTGAGTTTTCAAAAACAAGCATTCAATAGTTCCCATGGGATGACTCACTGGGGATTATTTATTTACCTCCTCTTCCCTTGGAATCTATTAACTTCCTTTGCAATTTCTCTTAGAACAGTGTCATACTTGAACTCATTCAGATCATTCAATTGGATTTTCTCAATTAAGAAGAGGGGAAAAAAGCATTAACTCTTTGCTTCTTTCCTTTGTCTCCATTGAATTGAATTGAAAGAGTAACAACTGGCTTCATCCTGATTTTAGACTTTGTTCTATGTCCCTCTGTTAACTATGGACAAAACATTTCTTGGCTGTGGCGACCTGAGAAAATGAAGAACCCCAATTCTTTTTTACATAGGAAAATTTCCATCAATAAGCTATCTCATTGAGAACAGGATCAGGTATTGTTAGCACACTGCCACCAAATTTGAGTAGAAAGAGGCAGAGCCTACTTACAAATTCTCTTAATTGTTTGGCATCCCTTAGTCCTGCCATGTCACCATTACTACCAGAAGTTATAAAACAGGATAGTTTGTAATTTAGCACAATAATCTGAATTTCCTTTACATTTAAAATGCTATCATTTTCTAGGTCTGTTTTTCTCCCATCAAAATGCTGCAGTTGAACTTATAGGTTTCTAAATTACTTTACTGAAGGCTATCAGTGGTCTCCCTAACTTGACTTAGACCCTTGAATCTTTTACAAAGGATGCTCCACTGAAACTATCTAAAACTCCTAAGAAGTAAATACTGGAAAATCTTCTCATTTATTCTCAATCTAATCTGTGCTTCCATCACTAAATTGCCAGGAGCTAAGAAAAAACATAATGTTGGCAAGTTAGGATCCTAACAAGAGATGTGATGCTTCATTGTTAATTTGAAAAGAGACTGTGCAAACTTTTTAAAAACCAGTATGTTTTCTTAGATCAGCCACCCTCTCTTAACTGTCTGCTTTAATTTTTCTCTTACTCTTTGATCATTAGTTTATTTATATTATGCTAAGCAAAAATGGCCAAGATTGTTCAAAAAATGTACAAAATGAGAATTAGTGAATTGCAAATAATTAAGGAATTGATTTCTTTGACTTTATAACATTTGAAAAGAACTCTAGACACTGTTATAAATGATACCCTTAAGGTGGTCATTATTTATTATGCCAATAATGTTTGCCCGTTTTTATCCTGAGATTTGCAGAATATGTGACAGAATCTAGTCTTTGAGTTTCTGTCTGGCTTGACATTGTATTTGTAATTTAAAGTTGTAATCTCAACTGTATTTTAAGAAGCTACATTCTATTCCTCAGTGTCCTTTTGTTAAATAGTATTTGATGAATTAAGCCACTGGGAGCAGTGGCATTAAGTGGTGGAAAAGGAAAGTACACATGTTTGAGTTTTGAGTGGGAGATGAGTAGGGAACAGAATAAGTTAATGGAAGAAAGTTTGGATATTAGGCCATTCTTTGAATTCTGGCTTAGCCACAATGTAATGTGTGATTTGGGACTTCACTTATTTACCTCTTAAGTAAAATGGGATACTAATTCCTAACAGGCTGCAGAAGTGGTAAATCATACATATATAAAAATAAAAGCTGGCTCACATTATGTGCTCAACAAATGACAGCTTCCAAAAAATGTCCATGAGTTGAGTAATTAAGTCATTAAATTGACCTGCCAAATGTCCCTTATCTTTACTTTCCATATGCATTTCCGTGGCAACCAAATAGATACATGACTGCTTTTCTGAAGGCCCAACTTGGAGTTTTCTCACATATTTCAAAATGTTATTCATCTAGGGTCCCTATATATTGCTATCTCCAAAATTAAGAGGACAGTGACATTAAATCATGAAAGTTTATGTTTTTCAGTTATATTTTGAGTTTATTTGGCACCTGGAATAAGAACGTGTCATCTGAAGTTATCCAAGTTTTTCTTTTCTTTTTTTTTTTTTTAATTTGCCTTGGAGGAAAAGTTGCAAAATATGGTGGAAAATATATCCCCCCATGAACTCATGAAAAGGAGGGGGAAAACAACCCTTTACAATCTCAGTCAGCAAATTTATTCTACTTGAGAAAAAAAGAAACAACTTTATTGGAAGCAGATGTTGACACTGTGTCAGTTATTGAAGATGGAAAGAGTTCACTCGAACCATTGCAGTTACAAAGGGTATTGATGGCAGTTAGAATCCCTGTGATGAATCTCCTTCACAGCTGACAGGACAGTAGAAACTATGGGACCAAAATGAAATCAGCCTGCCAATTTTAATGGACAGGACCATAAAGACTCAGATTTTTTTTTTCCTCCCAGCAGGATAAAAGATATATATATATATATATATCTTTCAGAAAATATAAGACTTGTTTGAGAGAGAAATTATAGTTTACTCTCTTGAAACATTGAAAGGCTTGAGAGCTCTTTCAATCCATTATCAAGGCATTAAAAATGTGGTTAAAATGTTTTTAGAAAAATTAGGATCATGTTTTGATCCAAAATTTATGTTGAAAATGAATATATAAGCTATAAAAGAGTTGGGTGACTTTGGTGATGGGGATATAAGTGGCATCTGCAAGGAAACCTCAATCTCAACAGCTTCAAAAGGTTAATGTCTTGGTTATGTGGTCATAGAGAGCGGTCAAAGAACAGATTTTTTTTTAGAAGTTTGCATTAAGAGTTTTCTTTTAGTGGTTTCTGGGGATTTTAAACCTTTAGAGTAGCCATTATTGCTAAATGTCTTAATTTTCTTATTTCCGTTGTGCTTTTTTGTTTGCTTGAAAACTATTTTTATGATTTCAAATAATCAAACTAATATTCACTTGAAATCTCAAGATTAATTTGATTTAATAAATTTATGTAAATCTCTTAAAATTCCATGAAATTCTAATACATTTAAGTATCATTCACCAATTCCTTTGTCTAAGGACACCTTCTTGAAAAAGGCAGGTTATCATCAATTATCTTCCTTTTTAACAATTTCTGGACTACTAAATTTAGGTCTAAGAATAATTTTTTGAGAATACAAGACTCTTTAGTTAGTTGTTCGGTATATGCATAAGATGTGAAGTTTTCTATTGATCTCTTTATACTAATAGAGTTGTACATTTTCTATGTTGCGGCTACAGCAAAAGTTAATGGTTATTTACACACTTGATTTAATTTCTTAGGATATGTACAATCTTAAATATTCTATCTGATTTTAAAATATT